AGAGTGCAGGGCTGCCCCTCACCCACCCCATAGCCTGAACCCAGGGGAGAATCACAGAAGTGAAGGGGCAGGGAGTGTCGACCACCAGAGGGTGACACGGTGATTCCTCCTCCCAGAGAATGGGCTCCGTGTATAGCCTCCCCGTAACCCCCCTGCAGCAACATTGTTCTGCTGCATCTTTTATGGCCACTTCGGTCCCGTCTTTCATATTTTGCCCCTCACCCACCCCATAGCCTGAACCCAGGGGAGAATCACAGAAGTGAAGGGGCAGGGAGTGTCGACCACCAGAGGGTGACACGGTGATTCCTCCTCCCAGAGAATGGGCTCCGTGTATAGCCTCCCCGTAACCCCCCTGCAGCAACATTGTTCTGCTGCATCTTTTATGGCCACTTCGGTCCCGTCTTTCATATTTAATAAAACCATTTTTGTGTATTACTCCCCAGTGTAAATAATTGCTACCGGGGGGCAGACAGCTGTGCAGCTCTCTCTTTCAGGGCAAGACGGACTTATCTGGAAGTCTGCTCTCACTGGCGCTGTGCACCTGGGGGCTGTGGAAAGTCCCTGTGATGGAGCCTTCCCCGAGCTGATCTGATCTTGGTGTTTGTGTTACTCTGCTGTGCGCTGTGATCCCAAACCTGGGCCAAGGCTGGAAGAGACCAGAGGATCTGGCCCAGCAGGACAGGGTGATGGGGTGTCCCACAAGGCAGGTAGCCACAAGTGACAATCTCAGGGAGATCTCTGTGTCTGAACCCATCACAAAGGTCTCCCGGGAGAGGTTGTGATTTGCTGATCATGATTATCCCATCCGTGTGCGTGTCTCATTCCTGTAGCTGCAGTTAGGAATATTCACCCTGCATCTGTATTTCACGTTGGCTGCTTTGGGTGATGCCCAAACACTTCAGGGGGCTATGATGGAAAAGCCAGGCAGGGCTGCTGGCCGACCAGCGAGGACATAGGGCAGTGAAAGGGCTTGGCCTTTCCATACGGATACTGAATCATGGACACAGGGATACTACAGAGTCAGATGACCTGGTCATCTGATCCTAATCACCA